GGGCGGGGCGGGGGAGAGTTAAGAGGGGACACCGAAGCCTCCCGACCCTCTGCCCCAGCCTCAGGAGAGAGCAGGTGCCAGGCCAGAGAAGCAAAGGACAACCTTGGTTCTTGGCTGCCCAAGAGGCCTGGCTTCCCCTTTCCCAAGGTGACCGGCAGGACCCCCAAGGGCTCCTGGGCCACCAAGGGGAGGTTCCGGCATGACCACCAGGGCCTCCAGGGTCAAGTACGAGGCCTGCCCCCACCCCATCGGGAGGAGTTACCTGGCGGTGCAGGGACTCCTTATTGGCCAGCTCATTCTCCAGTTTGTCGTTGAGGTCATGGATGGAGGTGGCCTCACGCTGAGCAGCCAGGTAGCGCTTCTCTAGTGTCGTGATTCTCTCCTCCATGTCCTCCTTCTGGGCCAGAGCCTGGGCAGGAAAGGAGGGGACAGGACGGAACGTCATCAGCTTCACCCCACCCCCATACTGTCTGCACCTCCCCACCAATACCTGGCTGGCTGTATCTTCCCCACATCGCCCTGCCAGTTGCTGACCTTGACCCATCCCTCCCGCCACTCCTCCCCACAGTGGAGCCCACCCAGTATTTAGTCTTAAACCCCCCAGCCCCGGTCCGGCCCTCCCTCCACCCCCAGGGCATCCAAGCACCTCCCCTCCCGGGTGCCGAACGCCCCCACTCAACCAGATGGGGCCGGGGGGTGGGGGCGGGGGGCCTTGCTCACCTCCCGGAGGTCCCGCTGGTGCTTGCTGCTCAGTTCCTCCGACTTGATGAGGTCCCGGCGGGCCGTGCCCAGGTCCTCCTCAAGCTCGGCCACGGTTGCTGTCAGGGTGACCAGTCGCTCCCGGGCCTGGCTCAACTCAAAGTTCTGCTTCTCCAGGAGCTCCTGCAGCTCCTCTACCCGGCCCGTGTCATCCTCCAGGGACAGTGAGCCACCAGTCAGTCCTCAGGGCCCAGGGTATCCCACTCCCCTGGCCCACCCCAGGGATAGCACAACCAGAGCAGACCACAGCTCTGCCTCCAATTTCAGTGCGCACCACCTCCTGCTGTCTCAGACTCTTGTAACCTAGGAAGGGGCCTGACTAGGGGAACAAAGGCTCAGAGAGAGAAGGGATCTCGCCTGACACCGACACACCAGGTAGACGGCACCTAGCGATTCAAGTGGACAACGTTATTATGAGCCAGCAGCACATTGGGCGCACACACACGCTCAAGATCTATAGATTTCATTGCAGGCAGGGTGGGGGAAAGAAGGAGACAGAGGTGGCAATATTGGAGAAAGTCCCAAATTTAATTCAAGCATTTGCTCTGCTGAACTAAAGCGGGGTAGGGCCCTCACCTCCCGTCTGGCGGAAGACCTGCCCCTGCCACGCAGTTTCCCATGACCCACCTTCCGCAGGCGCTTCGGTCCCAGCTCCACGGCCCCCTCCTCTTCTGCCGCTCCATCCCGCGCCCCTGCCCCCTGCTGCAGGGCAGATACCTGCAGGGCACAGCCCCCAGGGCAGTGAGTCAAAGAGGAGAGAACTTCCTGTATGTTCCAGACCCTTCGGAGTCCCCTGCCTCCCAGCCTCGCCTTGGCTAGCGGTCTCCAGCCTTGACGGTGGGAGAAATCCAGTGCAGAACAGGTTGGGGCGGATCAGTAAACCTGCCGTGGCTTCCAGGAGCCGTCTGCAGGTGGACGGTGGGCAGGCAGCTTACCTGCTGGTGGGCACCCGCCAGCTGCTCTTCCAAGGTGGTAACGCGCTCCAGGGCCGCTCGGAGCCGCTCCCGCACCTGCACGCGGAAAGGGGAGATGAAGGAAGAAACAGGGACCCCACTGGACTCAGGCTGGAGGAGCCTGGGCTTGATCCACCAGCTTTGGGCATGAGGCAAAGCGAGGGACCTGCCAAGAGGCAAATTTCTGAGAGGGAACCTAAGAGGAGGACCTGGAGATCAGGCCGGTGGTAGTGGTGGGCGGGGCCAGTTATGAAGCGAGAAGGCTGTTTTCCCCAAGCACAGGATGCAGAAATCGCAGAGAAGGGTCTCACAGAGGCCCCAGGGAAGTGGGCCACGCGGTGGGCCAGGCTGGGTACCTTCTCATCCAGGGCCTTGTGGTGCTCAAACAGCGACTTGAGGGCCTTCAGCACCTCCACCTCACTGGAGACCCCCGAAGGTGACTGGGCCTGGCGCTTGACCACAGTCATCCGTAGCGACCGCTCATGGCGGGACACCAGGCACTCCAGATGTTCCAGAAGCAACTGGCAGGGAGCAGGGGAGGGCAAGAGGGAGGGCTGTGAGCATGTGCCCCAGGGGCTATGAGCAGGGTCCACATGACCACCGAGTGGACAGGAGTACAGCCATGTGCACTGCTGTTAAAACACCGAAATACTTCATGTTGGTAAATACCTGCTGCCCCAGTAGAACACCTGCCCCGAGCCAGCTGGCCTGGCCTCTCTCCCAGGACCCCGACCTTCCTATGACCACCCCCATCTACAGGTAAAAAGCCTAGCACCGACAGCTGAATCATTTGATCCCAGAACACAAGACAAAAAGACGTTAGGAAGGGGCGGGGGGTATGCCTGGCCCTGGCCATGCCAGCTCCCTTGGTCAAGGGGTCCACACACACATACACACACCAGGTCACCCACTTACCCTTGTGTTATTCCGCTCTGCTTTCAGCTCTGATATCTCTTCCTCCCTTTCTAGAAGTTGCTCCCGACACATGCTCAGCTCCCGGGTTAAGGTGGCAAATTCCTGAAAACCCCCAAGGCCTCTGAGTGCTTGGGGATTTGCCCCCTAACCGGTGTCCTGCACGCCCACGTCAATGGTGGGATCGTCTCACCCGTCCCTTACTTCCAGCACCTGCCCCCAGAAAAGTCCCCATCCATCTGTATCGCAGGGCTGTAAACCGCAGCCAGCATGTGCATCCCTAGAGGGGTCCACATCTCTGCGCCCTCCATGCATTCCAAGTATGTGTTAGGGTACCAGGGACAGAGGTGGAAACAAGAGTGAGAAAGTCACTGAATCTGCTTTGCAGCCCCCTGCCCCTCCAGCCAACAGTATAACCTGATTATATCCTTCCTATTTTGTATTTCTATTTCCCCAACAACCCGATGACATCATCCTTTAGAAACAGACGGAGGGGCGTCTCCCCTTATGGTAAGGTCCCAAGATATTAGTCAAGGAAGAGAGGGGGCTTTGAAGGGAGTACCCCGGGGAGCTCCCTCCCGCCCGCTCCCCAGGGCTTTGCAAGCTGCAGGTGGCTGGTGAAATAAGGATCCATGGACAGGGGAGCAAGACAGCCTGCAGACCTGCCCAGTCCGCCACTTGGCTTTAGCACACATCCTAGGGATCCCCACTCACTTACTCCAGGGCTGCATCCCAGGGCTTGATGGCAGGGCACTTGCACTGGCCTTACTGGGTAACCATGCTCAAAGTATCCCTTTGAGGGGCCCTGTTCCCACGCTGTCAGGCCCACACACCGTGAGACACCTTTTCAACCCACCCATCTGGGTCAGGACAAGCACACAGGGGTGAGAAGCTGGCCTCACATTTCCAGGTCCATCATATCCTATTAAATTAGACATAGGGGTGCCTCGGTGGCTCGGTTGATTAAGCATCCGATTCTTGGCTTAGGGTCAGGTCATGATCTTCTGGTTCTTGAGTTTGAGCCCCGCATCAGGCTCCACTCTGATAGCACGGAGCCTGCTCGGGATTCTTTCTCTCTCCCTCTCTCTCTGCCCCTCCCTTGCTCATGCTCTCTCTCTCAAAAAATAAATAAATAAATACTAATAAAAACTAAAGTAGACATCACCTTATTCCAGAAAAGTTTTCAGAGAGGTGGTGCAAATTCTGTGGCTGCCCAGCGTCTGAGAGTGACTGAACGATAGCTGCAGCCCTGTCCTAACCTAAAGCTTCCTTCACACACCAAGGACTCATGACGGAAGGAAAAATTCCAAAGCAGTCCCCACCGATCACTTCAGATCAGGCAACAGGGGATAAGAAGGGCTGTGGGAAGGGCACAGAGACCCAGGGATGCCAGAGCTTGAGAAGTCTCAGACTTCTAACCCTGTTCCTGGATTAGTGCCCTTCTGTCAAGGCCATGGCCAAAGGTGGAAAGCCAGGCCTGGTGCCAGTGCTGCTCCACTCCTTAGTTTACACACACACACACACACACACACACACACACACACACACACACACGTACCCAGAGGCAGGACTCGGCACGCCCCCAGCCCCATGCCCTGACACCACCACCAGGGCTCTCTCCTCTCCCTTCCTGGGCTCCCCACCCCAGAACACCTGCCTCCTCCCCAACTCTAGCCCATCTGACACACTGTTGCCAGGATAATCTCCCAAAGCATGGCAATTGTCTACAACGCTGAACATAAACTTCTTACCCTGGTTTTCAAGTTTCTTTCTCATGGTTTCTTTTGATATACCCTACGATCTGGTCAACCTGGGTCTCCTGCTACATCCAATCACCAGCAAACCATCCTAATTCCACACCTTTGCTCAATGGGCTCCCTTCCCATGGGAAGCCCGACCCTCTGTCACCACCTGATGAAATCACATGTAGCTTTCAAAGCCCGTCTCAATGGATATACCTTCTTGCAACCCTCCAGACTCCCCAGTGGAAGATTCTCTCCCTCCTCTGAAAACTGTCTGGAAGAGTGGTTAAGAGCACCATCTTAGAAGCCCATGGTTTAACCACAAATACTGTGGGCACCTACCGTGTACCAGGTCCCTGGGTACATACACAAGAAACACATAATCCCTGCCCTCCTGAAGTTCCCAGTGTGCGGCTGGAATCAGATCTCAGCTCTGCCCCATTAGCTGTGTGACCCTGGACAAGTCATCTAGCCTGTTTGAACCTCTATCTCTATCTGTAAGACACAAGTAGAGGCCACCCTCATGTGTTGCTACAATGACCAAATGAGCCAACGCATGGAAAGCACTTAGCACAAGTCCACCAAAGGCGGCTACTTTTACCACCATTTCAACAACCCTTTGGAGCCCCTCTTCTCTTCCCCTGCTTGGTCTTCCCGTCATTTGGGTTTTTAATCCATCTCCTTTATAGCCTGTGGGCCCCAGGGCCAGGGACTGGCTCCTTCATTCTAGGGCTTGTTCGGGGCCTCATGCACAGTCAGCGGGGACCTCTCGCGCCATTTCTTCACCAGGGCTCCATATCCCTCTTGATGAAGCATCACAAAAGACTCTGCCCCCCACCACTTCTGAGCTCCCAGTAGATTTCCGCAGCCCTCCTGGGTTCACCTCAGTTCTCCTCCCCACATGTGGGGAAAGAGCCTGGGGCTGAGTCGGGAGCCCTGTGGCTCCTCAGAGCTTCCTCTCCGGTCCCAGCAGCACCCTCACAGGCTGTGCAACTGACTAATCTCCTCGAGCTTCACCTCCATCATTTGTAAAACAGAGACGATGGCGGTAACAGTACCAGCTTCATAGCTATGAGCATTTAGTGGGGCAAGCCGCACACACAGTGCTTAGTACACGGAAAACAGAAATGATGACCATCGTTGCGAGTGGTAGTGGTGTTGATTTAGGAGCATGAGACAGGTGTCAAGACCCCTGGCTTGTAGATTCGGCTCTGCCTAGAATTTTCTATGTGATACCCGTTGTTTTTTCCATCTGTGCACTAAGAGGACTAGATGCTCTCTAAGGCTTCTCCATTTCCACCCTCTGTGATTCCCCACCCACCACCTCCAAGAATAGGGCACTGGTGAGGATCAGGCAAGGCGGAAGTGTCTTTCCAGTCTAGGGTGCCACCTGGTGGCCGCATGGGCTCACTGCAGTTGGCAGCTATGGCTGGGTTTTTCTCCCGCATCAAATTCCATCCATTTCTCCAGGTGAAGCCAATGCCAGGCTGAGGAGCTTGGGAGTGACAGGGAAAGGATTTATGTAGGGAGATGAAGGAAAGTTAAATGCTCTGTGAATTCCATTTGTCGATAAGCAAACAGATGCAGATAAGCGGAGGGCCCAGAGTGTGCAGGGCTCAGCAGGGCTCAGCAGGGCAGGGTGGGGGGGTGGAGAAGGGGGCAGAATGTGGGGAGGTGCAGACAATCAGGCCTTACCTGGGGGAGGGCAGAGTTAAGGTGGCGCTGGAGCTGGTCCCGCTCATGCAGGGCATCTTGGAGCCGGCTCTGCGTGGCTGCCAAGGTCTCCTGACTCTCCCGAAGGGACTCCAGCAACTTCTCCCGCTCATCCAGCATGTTCACCATCAGCTGCTCAAAGTTGGCGTCAGCATCGGCGCCATGGGGGGGGCCCAGGGGGTCCCCCTCGTTGATTGTGGGCATCACCTCACACATGGTGGGGGTGGACAGGGCCTTCTCAGCGTCGGGGGACAGGGGAGGGGTTCACAGGGTTGGCACCTCCAGGGGGACCCAGTGCATGGGTCTCAGAGCAGGCAGCGCCAGGTGAGTGGGCAGGTGGGCAGGGGCTTCTCCCATGGCATCAGTCGCTCTTGCTCTGAAAGGGGCCTGGTGCCCGGAGTGCCCCTGTGGAATGGAGCCAGAGGGCCTGGCTTAACCTCTCAGGGCTGGGGCTGGGTGCCCTATGTCCCCAGACAAGTGGGCAGCAGCCGAGTGTGGCCATGACAGGCAGGGAGAGCAGGGCTGGAAGAGGGCCCTTCCTTAGGCTGAGTGCTGGAGCCTGGCAGAGTCCCAGCTGGGTCTAGCGACGCCCATCGTTTCTGGAGGGCAGTGGTCTGTGGGAGAAGAGGCTGTGGTGAGGACCAGCTGAGGAAAGAAGGGCATCCAGGGGAGGGGATGGCGGCGGG